ACAAAGAATCAGAATCTTCAAATTGTGTTTCATTAATTTAATAGGATAAAAAAAAAAAAGTTTTAAAAAGCAGCAGTGTCAAAATTACAGCAGAAACACTAGAAGAAACATCTTAGCCAGTATAGGGGGCCTTTGAATATTATGTTGGACATTGGGGGGTGGGGGTTCTAAAAAGGTTGAGAACTACCGATCTAACCTAATCTAATCTTTACCTCAATACAGATATGATGCATCCCCCCGGCTTTGTTCTTCTGCAGGAATCCTGCAATAGGGCTTTTCTCTCCCAGAGGGTGCAGAAGCTCTAATTTGGTGTTTCCCAGTTCCACAAACACAGTGTACACCCCATGCTCAGGGAGAGGCACAGTGGCGCTTACTTGAGCCCCCAGCACATCACGGTAGAGTGCTGTGGCTTTCTCTAGGTCTGGCACTGCGATAGCCACATGACTCAGCCTGCCTAACTTCCATAATGACCGAGGGACACCTTGACTAACGGGTACAGTCAGAGACAATGCCCTCACTGAAGGTAAGGTGTGCAATGCACACCTCGAGAGACCTGTAACTTCAAGAGAGATGAAATGGCAATATGGATGCATTAAATCCTGAACGATAATTACAACAAACATAGTCTATGATGGATTTTATTCACGACGGCTGTCAAGGAGTAAGTTGCATATAACTGCAACGTGTGCAATTAGAATAAAGCAGCTCTAAATGTTGCAAACGTTTAAAGGAAAAACTTAAAGACACTAAAACAATATCAATTTACTACATTTTACCTGCAACCTTCAGTAAAGAGGAAGCCATCTTTGCGGTCACTGAAAACAACCAAAACTTTATTTAAACAGCGCGAAACACGTGTTCAGTTACGTGTTTTGGTAATAGACGCATGTACATATTTTTCATAATATTTCCATTTAAAAAACAGGATTATGGTAGACTAAAAAACAGTAAATCGCTATATTAAGAAAGGTTAGGTTATAAGGTTATATGGAACCTTCTATGTGGAACGCAACATAGTGCATTTTGTTTCCGAGGGTTGTATTTACCAAGCGTACGCAGAAACCCATGTGAGAGTGCTGAGATGGCGAACGGAGATGGCAGCACGTTGGAGAGCTGCTTACAGTTACTAAACAGCAACACAGCACACCCGGAGCTATTTCTCAGGTTAGGTGCACATTAAATTATTTAACTATGTTGTTGTTAATTTAAAACAGAACGTTTTCTAACGTTAAAGAAGCTGAAACGCGTGTCGGGCCACACATGTGCAAAAGTCTCACTTTGTGGTTGCGAGTTTAATATAACGTTATGTGACATATACCTTTCTCTAAAATTTCGCTATTCATGTTTAATTTCTCTATTCATTTTCTATGGGAGTTTTGTTTTTAAACTAAATAAATATAATTAATGATAAAGATATGCAAATAGTAATATAATACTACTACATATGAGTGTGGGTAAAAAAAAAGTGACATTTCTCTTTTATGCTCTCAATCTTTATTCAGTGTCCAGGATGCTCTGGTAACAGACTTCAAAACACTTACCAAGACTCTTTACGATCTGCATAAAGCCCGTGAGCCTGCAGACTGCAAAGGAAGCCCACTGGAGCAGCTGGTCATCGAAAACTTTGATGAGGAGCAGATCTGGCAAGAGCTGGAGCTTCAGAACACTGCTTTACTGACCCACTTTGAGGAGGCAGTTGAGCAAGCTGTCACAGATGACACTATAACATTTCTTGAAGATCCAGAGGAAGAGAAGGAGGAGGAGGATGTTGATAATGGGGAAATTGCTAATAATTTGGAAGAGAGTGCAGAGGAAGATGAGGATGATGATGATAAGGACAAAGAGGAGGAAGTTAAGCAGAGGTTGACACCATCTGCAAGCAATGAGGACGATGACTTCTCTGGTGAAGACTCGGATTTGGACTTTGATGTAGATACATTTGAGAGAAAAAACAAACAGCAACAGTCAGCTGCCAAATTATCAAAGTCTAATAGGACTCCATCAGAAGTGGATGACAGGTTTTTTAAACTGTCATAAATGGAGGCTTTTTTGGATAACATGGATAAAAGAGAAGGAAAGGAGAGTGTAGAGGAGGACATAGACTACTTTCAGAATTTGCCATCTGATGAAGACGAGGAACTCCACTTTGATAAACCAGTAGGGCTGAAAAAACAGAGAAAGGTAATGGTGTAACAGACTTTTCCTGAGTCTTTATTTATTTTTTTAATTATTTTAATTTGTTGCATCCCCTGCATCACGTTTATGGACGCCCCAGGGTGTAAAACTTTGGGTCTAATATACAGAGGAATGCAGCATGATTGTGTAACACAGAAGTATCAAAATCAAAAATGCATTCTAAGTATTCCATTTTATTTCACATTTTTTATCTTTGTGTAAACATGAATTTAAACTGACTTCTCATGAAACTCTGTGTCTTTGTTTTACAGAAGAAAAGCTCCAGAGATATGAAATACAAAGATTTCTTTGCTCCAGTGGATGGAGAGCCTGAACAGACGGATCCAGATGAAGAGAAGGAACCAGAATCTAATGATGATTATGAGGGAGAAGAAGATGATGACAGTGAGCTGGAGGAGGAGGATGAAGAGGATATGAATGAGGAAGATTTTGATGTGGAGGAGTAAGTCATGAGGATGGATACCTGCTGTCCTCCATTGTTGTGTGTTAGCAGAATATAGTGTTACAGCATTTTCTTTCAGAGATCTAATGCATTTCACCTCTAAATTTAGGGATGGCACGGGTGATAGAGCAAGAAATGCTTTACGCAAGGTGACCTTTGACCTTCCTGATGACAGTGAGGGTGAGGATGTGGAAGATATTCTAGGTGGAAAAGCCAAAAACGTGCCTAAACCTGAGTCCAAGTCATCCTTTGAAAAGAGACAGGAAAAGGTATTTAATTATTTTTTTATTTTCGATTTGATTCAGTAATTTTAGTGCTTATTTCAGTTAGTTGTCAAGGCAACATTTATCATTTTCATTTAGCTTTTCATGTACTATTTATATTTCATTTCTTCTGTATTTCAGTTAACAAAATTTATTTATTTTTTTTCAAGTTTTAGTTGTCAATTATAAGCCTGCTTTGATGTGAATTGAAACAGATGGCAAAAAAGATTGAAGAACTGGAGAACGCTGCATTGTCCGAGAAGCCGTGGCAGCTGACAGGAGAGGTGAGCGCTCAGACTCGACCGGAGAACAGCATGCTGGAGGAGGATATAGCGTTTGACCAGGCCTCTAGGATGGGTGAGAGTTTCATGCTGATCTTCACAGCAAAAGGCTTAATGCTTTGAGAATCTTTATAGATTTGTTCATTACTTTGTTTCTCTCCTCCACAGCTCCAGCAATCACAGAGGAAACTACCTTACAGCTTGAGGAGATTATCAAACAAAGAATCAAAGATCAGGTTTGTTTAAACTTCATGTTCTGCATTTAATGTTCATCTTCTAATATTATGCTGTCTGTTTTGAAGTGACAAAGGCGAGTAAAGTAACTTTAAATCATTCATTAATCCATTTTGTGCAAATTGCCCATTGAATTGAATACCACAGTTTACCTAGGAATGTTTTTGAGTGTTTGTCAGCTTGATTCGTAAATATGGCCCAGTATACTTCACTTTTTTTGTTGTATTGTGGTTGTGTCTCAGGTGTGGGATGATGTGGTAAGGAAAGAGAAGCCTAAAGAGGAGGTGTTTGAGTATAAGAAGAGACTCACTCTGGACCATGAGAAGAGCAAACTGAGTCTTGCCGAAGTTTATGAGCAAGAATATATCAAACAGACACAGGTGAGTCCTGTACACAGCTGTGTCTCTCATAAATATATTTTAAAATGTAATTTATTCCTATGATGGCAAAACTGAATTTTCAACAACCATTACTCCAGTCTTCAGCGATGCGGATTTGATGCTGAAGAAATATTTCTTATCAATGTTGAAAACAGTTGTGCTGCATAATGTTTTTGTGGAAACTATACATTTTGTAAGGATTCTTTGATGAATATAAAGTTAAAAAAACAGCATATATTTGAAATAGAAACTTTTTTTAACATTATAAATGGCTTTACAGTTACTTTTGATCAAATGAATAATCCTTGCGAATATAAATATATAATATATATTTTTTGTGGGCTTCAGGAAAAGAAGGAAGAGGAAGAGAACCCAGCACATGTAGAAATCCAGAAACTCATGGACACACTCTTCCTTAAACTGGATGCGCTATCAAACTTCCACTTTACACCAAAACCAGTGAGTTAAATTCTCCTTATGGCTTGAGCCAGCTATAGTGTATTCCTGCATGTGTGACGTGGATAAAAAAATGATTTCAAGCTATGTACCTATAAAATGGAAAAAAACAACATTCAATTTAGCTGTTTATTAAAACTAAATATATTGGCCTAAACATGTAAAATGGATTCCTGTTCTGCTAAGTTCATCTCTCTGTACAGCATGTTCAGATGAGTCATTCTTCATGTGTTATTTCTCTGTTTAGCATATTCCTGAGGTGAAAGTGGTTTCCAACTTGCCTTCTATTACTATGGAGGAAGTGGCTCCAGTCAATGCCAGTGACGCCACACTGCTGGCTCCAGAGGAGATTAAGGTTTGTGTGGCCTGCTCGCATCACTTCCAGTTTATCAGAAAACCTCACTTTTAAGTGTTTACGAAAGAGTTTGCTTTGTAGTATTTGAGTGAAACATTTGCACAAATTAGATCTCAGAATCTTCATTAGATTTCAATGCATTCTATTCCCTTATCTCAGGAGAAGAATAAGGCAGGAGACATACTCGGAGACACAGAAAAAACCACTACAGATAAGAAACGAGAGAGACGGAAGAAGAAGAAACTGAAGCATCTGAAGATTAAAGAGCGGGAGAAGAGACAGAAACGCAAAGAGGAGATGAAAGGAGACCAGAAGAAGAGTAAAACTGAGGTTGAACAGACTCTCAAGAAACTTACTAAAGGAGGAAAAGCCAAAATACTCACGGTCAGTAACCAAGTCAAATGCAGTATTAATGAATCCAATTACATTATTGTAGTTTTGTTTGTGTATAATATTCTCTCCCCCTGTACATTCTGACAGAATGATGGCATGGATAAGGCTCTGCGTTCCTCTCAAGCCTTCTTCTCCCAATTACAAGACCAAGTCAAGAGCCAAATCAAGGGCTCGAAGGACCAGACGGCAAAGAAACAAAAACAGATTTCTGTAAACAAGCTTAAGTTGTAATGTTGACTTGTGTCAAAAGCAATATGTACAGTTATTAGTTTTAGGAGAAATCGAATTGTATCCTGTCATTTTTATTCAAATACAGATTTCTTTTTTCCTGTATATTTGTGTCTTTTATATCAGTTTTTTACACTTGGCATTAACATGTGATCACCATGATATGATCAAGCAGATCGGATCATCAGTCAATCAGAACTGTTTACACTTGGCAACATCAACTGATTTTCTATCTGGATAACCGATCGGATCTGTCTTTCCCGCGCAATATTTAAATATGTCTGCAGAGAATGGCCCGGTGCAAAGTCAACCTGAAGTGGTGGGTTTTCTTTTGACAAGCATTTTCAGTCGTGGGACATTTTACAAATCAAAGATAAGTGTAGGAGTCTCACTAGTCTCCACACGGGTGTTCTCCGTGTTTTTTTCTGACAGTTCGCGAGAGAGGGCACGGGGTTTTGCGTGATGTCGACCTGCGAATGCAGACACGATGGCTGGATTGTATTTACATTACACTGAGATCCAATCACAATGCGTCCTCGACTACCTCGAGCAGGACACGCTGATCGGATAACGAGAATGATGGCATGGATAAGGCTCTGCGTTCCTCTCAAGCCTTCTTCTCCCAATTACAAGACCAAGTCAAGAGCCAAATCAAGGGCTCGAAGGACCAGACGGCAAAGAAACAAAAACAGATTTCTGTAAACAAGCTTAAGTTGTAATGTTGACTTGTGTCAAAAGCAATATGTACAGTTATTAGTTTTAGGAGAAATCGAATTGTATCCTGTCATTTTTATTCAAATACAGATTTCTTTTTTCCTGTATATTTGTGTCTTTTATATCAGTTTTTTTCGGTCTGTTTTTGTACTATATACTCTCACTATTAACTCTTAAAACAATGAAAATATTGTTTGCTCCTTACAGAGTTCCTTACCTGGGAGTGCTATATTAATAAATCAAGCTTTCATTAAAATCATCAATATACAGTATACTGTCAATAGTGGCCCCAAAAAGTATTTAAACACTGAAGTCAGACATTGAAATATCAGCATTAGATACAAAATATCAAAACAAGGGGCATCTGCAAACACGTTTGTAGATTTTTCTAGACATTTCTTAACTATTTTCATGGATATATTAAAGTCAGTTTTCATTGAGTTCACGCTGGAATTCTTGCAGACTTAATTACCTGAACAAATGAACATGTTCCACAATGTTTGACAACCGGAAAGTGTCCAAAACGTTTTGCTTTTGAACAATATATCTTCATATAATAAACCTAACACTTAATTTGGGGAAATTACACCCGTCTCTTCCGATCAGAAGCGCGTTTACACTTGTCTTTTCAGTGTGTATGTGGACAACATCCGGATACAGGTCGCATGTTAATGCCAAGTGTAAACGCAGCCTAAAATGTAAGTCTGAGCTGTTTCAACTAAAATAAACTTACACTGACTGATCTTAAAATATATCAGTGCATTTGTGTTGTCTCAAGATGCACATCAGTGATGTTTTTTTCTAAGGCACATTTATAAAAATTACTTAAATATCCTAATTGAACTAAGGCCTAATCCTGGCTTAGTCTAAGCCCTGTCTGTGAAACCAGGCTTTTAGGTTATAATTTGAATGTCTGAAATTGTGATTCACGTACATATAAATTACCATTCAAAAGTTTGGAATGATTAAGAGCTCTTTTGAAAGAAGTCTTTTATATTTACCAAAGCTGCATTTATTTCAAGGGGCATCTGCAAACACGTTTGTAGATTTTTCTAGACATTTCTTAACTATTTTCATGGATATATTAAAGTCAGTTTTCATTGAGTTCACGCTGGAATTCTTGCAGACTTAATTACCTGAACAAATGAACATGTTCCACAATGTTTGACAACCGGAAAGTGTCCAAAACGTTTTGCTTTTGAACAATATATCTTCATATAATAAACCTAACACTTAATTTGGGGAAATTTAAAGCAAAAAAAAAAGTGCTTGTGCTATATTTATTTAAAATACTACTGTTTTTGACATTGCAGTACGTAATATTTACATATTTTTATTATTAATTTTTTATTTCTTGTATATAAAATACTTTTTGGGACCACTGTAACTTTCATTAAATGCATCATCAAAAAAAAAACGAATTTATATATTTTATTCATTGCCATTTGCGATTTACTTAAGCATTTACTAATAGTGTCTGCTAAATGAATAAACGCAAATACAGTTTGTCATAGCAATAAGTGGTCAGAAGAGGGCATTAATATTAAGTGCTCTGTAATGTTTTCGTTACTTGGTTTGGTTACAGCTAGTGTCACCTGAACTTGTGTTCTGAGAACGTAAACTGAGATTAAAGAATGATTTTACTGGTTTCTAAACTCATAAAAATATTAGAAAGTCATATTTAATGCCGTTAAATATGAACAAAAAAAGGCAGGACTCCATTCAAAGTGGCAATTCTTTTTATTTGCATGAAAATCTGAAGAGCCAAATTTTGCAAATTGCCTCACAAGGCTCCCCTGAGCTCACAATCAAAAACTAAAATTAAGAATTTTTGAATGATGCTGCACACTGGTGGTGGTTGAGGAGAGACCCCCCATATGATTGTAAAGCGCTTTGGGTGTACAACAATACACAATAAAGCGCTATATAAATGCATCATTCATTCATTCATTCAAGAACCTTCATTGACTCTCTACACAGACACAACTGACCAACCACGGATATCTAAACAACTGCCACACATAGCTTTGGAATTAGTCAGCGTAGTTCCATTCACACATCAGAGGGGAAACTCCTGTGATGCGTTTTGTAGCTTTTTAATAACCAGAAAAAGGAACGGGTACACTGCAATCAGGGCCCACAACAAGGCACAGAGCATCTGTACAACATCCCTGTTTAAGTATCTTTGCATAACTGAATAAATATCAGTGCCGTTTGACAAATCAAACCGCGCCATTAGAACAAACAGAGTTTTCATACTCATTACAGCACTACTGGTAAACTACACGCATACCGTGCATTACTTCAGACTAGTTAAAGGGTATCAGGGGAAAAGGTAAGTACCAGTTCTAGGAAAAACAAGTTAAAGAATATAAATTGGAAAAAATAAAATAAAATACAGTCCCCAACCATAATAAAAATCTATAATTAAAAAGGCTACATATCAAACCAAGACCAGTGATACTGTCACACTAGTAAAATAACTCAAAAAGTTCACAGGTGCATTAGCACAACTTTCTCAAATTATAAATGTCTTATCTGACAGTCAGATATTGTTTGAGACACTGACTGCACTGCAAGCCAAATCAACCGGCTGACTGGCTTGAGCAGCGGTCAGTCACCTTCAAACAGCCAAGCTGTGCTTTAGAAAGCGACGGGTCTAACAGACTGGAATCCAGCCAGCCTGACAGACACCAATATGTGCACAGTTATTGCCTGATATACGGGTTTACACTGATAAACCCTCAATTCCTATATCAAGTTTCACAATTTTGGTTATTGATTTTAATACAGCTAACTACGTTAGACCTTACCAGAAGGTTTCAAGAAATCTTCAACTATTTTAGGATTAAAAGATAAAATATATGCACATTTTATGCCATAGATTTAAGTTATTGTTCAATTTGTTACATCAATTAATGCATTAGGTATCAAGAACCAGCATTTATTAAACTTGGTTAATGTTAATTCTACATATACTATACTCATTTTTAAGTTTGTATACATTAATATTAGTAAATGTATTATGAATAAACAATAATAATAAGAAACGCTTTTTGAGAATCAAATCGGCATATCAGAATGATTTCAGGATCATGTGACACTGAAGACTGGGGTAATGACTGCTGAAAATTCACCTCTGCTGTCATAACAATAAACATTAAACTAGAAAACAGTTGTTTAAAATTGTAATGATTTTTCTAAATGTTGCTGTTTTTACCTAATTTTTGATTAAATAACTGACCCCAAACCTCAAACAGTAGTATGTGTATTCATATGCACCTTTAATATAAGCTGTAAAAAAAATTGTTTATTGTTAGTTCATGATACCTAATGCATTAAATAATGATAACAAATTGAAGCTTAATCTGAAGTATTACCAGTTCTACTTCCTTTCCAACTAATGCCACAAGCCTCAAATTGAGAAATACACCAAGTATTTTAACACAAGGAGAAAAGTATATACAGGCAGTGTACAACAGATCCAAACAATCCTAAATCAGAACGATGTGCGATTGGAGCTTTATATTTAATCTGGTGCAAAAAAAATAAAAAATCACTGCCTGACAACTCTCAACAGACTGAATAAAAATGTCCAGGTAACTGTCAGTACCACAAGCCTGCACATTCAAAATGAGAAGATCTTCAGCCCTTAGATGTTTGTCTATGTTTGTCTGACCTCACAGTCCTATCCCAGCAGTCTGCCCTCAAATCGTCTCATTAGCCAGCGTCTCCGTAGAGAGCCAGATCTTGGCTCCGTTGAGGAACTTGCTAAGAGGAGACCCTAGGATGCCGGGGCGACACAGGTTACCCACAGGAGAGAAAGGAAACGAGGAGCTGAGGTACTCTGGAGGAGCAGGGGGCTGGTGAGGGGTCGAAGTCGCCTTAAAGTACATTTTGCTGTGCTCTGCGTGCAGGCTGTTAGGAGTACCGCCTGCTCCTTTGTACTGCCTCAACTGGTTCAGGAGCATGTCAATCTCATCTGTGAGCACCGAGAGCTTGTGGAAGGCAGTGATGGGGCCGCCCTGAGGAATCTGAGCCTCGGGAACCCAGCGCAGGAAGTAGAGCAAAGAGGTAAAAAAAAAAAAAAAAACATAAAAATGAGTGATTTGATATATTACAATAACCTATCATAAAACAGACATTTCTTGCACTTCAATATAAATTCATTGTAAGATAGCAGCTATACAGGGGTTGGACAAAAAATGTGAATACAACAGGCAATATTTCTTTATTAGGCTGTTTTAGCACTATCCGCCTCTAATACAGCTTCCAACCTTCTCAGAATAGATTAACTTTTAATTAGTCTCCAGCTGAATGTTGTCTATCAAAATACTTGCCAGTTGCTTCAGAGATGTTAGAGGAGAGAATTTGCTTCTCACTCATCTCCCTAAAACTCCCACAGTGGTTTGAGAATATTCAAATCATGTGATTGAGTTCATCTTGGTGCTCCAACTGTTCAGGTTTTATGATCATGACACCATCTGTTTTGCATTTTAGCATTGGTGTCTGTGATTGAAGTTTTAGCAACTGTGGCTTTTTCACAGATGTTGGTTTTGTGATGTTCTCTATAGTGGTTTTTGGTGGAAACATGATCTTCAAGGTGAACATTGAGGTTTGCTGTCACTTTGCTGCAGTAGTTCTGTTTTGTTTGGGGACAGTTCTTCTTGGTGTTCAAGAGTCCCTACAATTCACTTCAAGTTCTCGCCCAGTATTTTTCTCCAATGATGTTCACTGAAGTCTTGCCTTAGTGTACCCAATCATAATCGAAAAAACTATTGTTCTTAAAACACCAAACAACTGGACAGTTGTTATAGACACTCCAGATTACAGAAACTCCTGCTAAACAGGCTTCCATGATTTGCCATTTTTGGAAGTCTAACAAGTCTCTAATTTCACAGGCTGCTTGTATTAACACAACTTTTATAAAAACATGTAGTTATATGGACACTTGAGTATATAACTACAAGTTTCTATGTCTAGTTTGGCTATAAACAGCCTACAATTAGACTATTTACGGAGGGATTGCTGACTGTGTATATTGTTAATAATAAACAATTAGGAATATATGAAAACATAAAAATTATTTAAAATAAAAACAACAAAACACATTTGTGTTGTCTCCTTGTAATACTGATGGAGTAATGGCTGCTGAAAAATTCAGCTTTGCCATCACATGAATAAATTACATTTTAAAATAGATTGAAGATTGAAACTTATTTAAATTCAATTTAAACATTTCACAATATTACAGTTTTTACTGTATTTTGATCAAAGAAATGCAGCCTTGGTAAACATAAGACTTTTCAAAAACATTCAAACATCTTACAGACCCCAAACTTTTGAACGCTAGTGTATAACTTGTTATATATAAACATATAATAATGATATACATTTAATTCAACTAGTTTAACTAAATGAACTAAATTAAAGCATCTAACCCTGCTGTGCTCTGCTCTTTGCCTGTAGGACCGTTCACACGTTCATAACTATTAAGTTTTAATAATCATTATTAACATTTAAATGGAATAAAGGTGTATGTATAACTCATTAAACCAACTTAAATTAAAATTCTTCAAAAAGCATCTAACCCTGCTGTTCTCTGCTCTTTGTCGGGGGCAATTGAAGAGGAAGGTGCTGAAGATGGGAACCCACATACTGTCCCCCAGCACTGTCAGGTACACCTCAGTGAACTCAAAGGCTGCTGGGTACTGATTCCACAGCTGCCACACACAGTCCAGGAACAGCAGGAACACAGGAGACTGCAGAGAGAAATAATATGAGCAATGAAAAAAAATCTTCACATATATGAAAGAAGTGGGCCACATGCATGCCTCATACAGTCGATGAACAAACAAGATTCTGGAATCCAACTGATAAACAATGTACTACCTCCTCTTTGTCATTCTTCTTCAGATGGTTGCAGCGGTCCAGGAACCGATGCCCAGCCATTACCCATTCCTTCTGAATCAGACTCTGGAAGCCATGCAGACTCCTGCAGTGAGGATCGCACATCAGCTGCACCAGACAGGAAATCACACAACTCAGGTCCCGATCCTCTTTCTCTGTGCACACACATACAGAATAAAGAGGATCATTTATCACTTCACATAAGATTTACAAGATATTACATTTGAGATATTAGATTTGACTATAAGAGACAACAGAACAATTAAAGGAATTGTTTACCCAAAAATGAAAATATGCTGAAAATGTACTCTCCCCCCTCAGGCAATCCTAGATGTAGTAATTTTCAGCATTTTTTTTGGGGGGGGTATATATATAATATACCTGATTATTAATAACGGCATTTGTGGCATGCTGATGACCATAGATAATTATTTTCTTGGGTTTGCACTTTTATAATATAATAAATATCATATATCATATCATATATCATATCATGATTTTTTTTTTATATATATATATATACAACAGGATGGAGAAAAAAAATATCTGTATTATAACTGTAAAAGGGATTTTTTTACCTAGAAGTATGACAGGCACATTTCTGCTCTCCAGCATATAGACTACCTCTACTGCATGCCGTAGAAATGTTCTGTAAAAAAAAAAAATGCATACCACACAGCATCAACATCTACAGACAAAATTGTTGAGAACTAAATAAACACCTGAGAATGCACAAACAGAAATCTATGCCTGTTGCCAACATTTCTGGCACAAAAGCACTTCTGGCACAAGCTGAGTGATCAAGTATGGTGACTGGTGACTACTGAGTGTTTCTCAATCATACCCAGGGCCGTTTCTAGGCATAGGCGAGCTAGGCGGTCGCCTAGGGCGCCACCAGCTGAAGGGGCGCCAATGAGCGCACGTACTGGCACTTTTAGCAGGGTTGTGATAAAGAGTGGCACGGTCACCCTGAAATATGACTGCCGCCCCCACTGGATCCCCCAACATTATTGGGCTAGAGTACTGTCAATCTGACGATGCCTGTATGCCACTAGATCAGAGTGCTGTCAATTGCTGCCTGATTGTTGCATGCAAAGTTTGCATTTGGAGCGCTCAACAACGCCATTAGATCAGTGGGCTCTGTCAGTGCTTTGGCAAGGTAACACTTTTTTTTTTGCCATGCAATAAAGTTAAGTCCAAAGGCCAATTTAAAATATTGGTACAGCAAATAAAGTGCACAAAATCAGTATTTTGTTTAGGCCGTATTTGTGGCACTTTTGTGGCACATTTGTCCAAAAGGTGTGCGTTATCCAAATCAAAATGTAATAAAATTAATTTATGTGTGATTTATGTGCAATGTCTTAGCCACTAGGGATTGTTACATAGGGCTATACAGGCATTTAGTGGCAACACAATGATATTACAGATACTAAATTGTGCAAAATGTTTATCTTAACAGTCAATTTACAAATAATGCATTCATATTTGTGGAACTCGATGCACTGAATCTCCACAAATTAGTTCACAACCAATTTGAATGTGACAAGCAACTGGTGTCTGAAAAGAATTATA